TCTAGTGGCCACCGTATGGCATTACAGTTAGGTCAAAATAAAAACACAACATATAAAATTCTACATATTAGTTTATTTTAAAATGTTGACTAAAGCGTGATCTTAATCAGCCTGGCTGCCCTTGTGGCGTTGCAGTGGGACTCCCTCGACCGTGCACATCCGCCCCTGAGGAGAGAGGGAGGACCTCTGCTCTCTTCTAGGCTGGGCGATATGGAGCAAAATATATATATCTCGATATCTTTACAGGAAAAATAACCCCATATGCCAAAAACAAATATGCCAAATACCACAGTCTTTTTTTATTGGAGTGCAAAGAGGTAGGCAGTTCATGTAGGACCAACGTGCTTCTGCGACGTTTAAAAAGAAATCCCTGTATAGAAAAATAATCATTTAACTGTAAAATAAAGGAAGAAATAATACATATTGCATTTTCATCCAAAAATTTAACAACTCAACTCAAGGTAGGCAGTGCATATAGGAGCAAAGTGCTTCTGGGACATTTAAAATAAAAAGAAATCCCTGATTACATAAATAGTAATAATTTAACTGTAAAATAAAAGAAATAATACATATTGCCTTTTCATTAAAAAATAAAACCACTCAAGCTCATCTTTGCATGAACTCTGTTGTAGCCATCAGTGATGCGCGGGTCACTGTATAAACAACCCGCACCCGACCCACGTTTTCAACTAACCCGCCCGCAACTCGGACCGCAAAAAAACAGAAAGTAAATATTGTACCCGACCCGCTTCCTGACCCGCATTTTTTAAAAGTAGTAAATGCTCTTCGTAGCGTCATTGGGCCATCAGACGTGTAACACACATGTGTAAATGGCATCGCAAGAAGTAGGCTAATTGTTTATTAATAAACATGAAGTTGACGTTGCTGACTCGCGATCTTCGCTGTAGTGAACGCACCAGAGAGAAATTGCACATTTTATACAGATAAGCAGAGAGCAGTCCGTCTTTCGTTTTGAATTGTTCCGTTTACAAGTAGACATTTCAATATATAGATATATGTTTCAGGTCTGTGAAGTAGGCTACCTTATACGCTGAGTTTCGGTTCATTTATGAGACGCGCTCCAGTTCACGCGCCGGCGCCTCCGTGTTGTGATTATCTTGTCTCGCTATATTTACTTCTTATTTATTAAATCCAGGCAATTGGTTGATGAAACATTGATTAAAATTAAGATACAATTAGTACAAATCGAAATTCACTTTAAAGAAAGGCTTTGTGTCTTCTGTTTGAGGTCTCTGTGAAAGTTATAAAACGGTCTTTTAGCACCGCTTCAGACCAGTCGCGTCCTTACATTCTTTTTTCCTCATAAATGCGAACATATTTTATGTTCTGTGGACAGCCAACCCTTTTTCATCCGGTGGGTAGTATTACTTTTGATTTGCGCAGTGTAATTCACAGGATTACAAAAAAAATATTTTGCCTCCTAAAAGTTAAATATTTGTTTTGGCACGCATGAATTTCCCTCGTATAAATATAAAACGCATGTGTAGATTGATATGTTTCTAATGTCTGGACTCCTTTAAGGGGGTATTGGATAAACTAGGGATGCGCGGTATACCGGTACTGCAAAAATACCGGTATATATTATATTTGAAACGGTACAATATCATAATTTTGTTCAATTCGGTATTTGATGCGCTGCTGTTTCGAAGTTCACCGCTAGGCGGCAGTGCGCTACCTAAACTGACGCGGGTCACGCGAAACCGGCAAACGGTGACAACAGAGGAACACGATGGATCAAACGAAGCTCATTCGAATTTCTACACGCCCGAAATGAATAAATAGAGAGAGCAGTATGAGTGAAATAAGGCATTACTTTGCCAACAAAAGTAATGAGAAAAGGAAAGAAACAGATCTCGATTCACCACTCTGCAAACGGGGAGGCAACACATCAAATCTGCCTAGCACTTGTCAGTTGCTCATCTTGTCTTGTTCAAAGAGTTCAGAGATCGACAGGTTAGTCCATCATTCAACTGATTTAATTTAGACTTTTATTGAACATTGAACAGCGCACATACATAAGAGCTTATCAATTATATATGATACGGTAAACACGAAAGCTCAAGGCCTATTTCAAGTTTTGACTGCAAATGTCACGTCCATAACGCTGGAATTCCTCAACTAGTTTTGTTGTGTTGGTCTACGTATTTTATAATGTTAACTTCAAAATTCAAATAATACTAATATAATTTAAAGATATGGTAGCATTGGATCTGGACGGGAAGGATAACTGGGAGTTGGAAAGGGGTGTGTCGCGATTCTGCAGGTTCGTGGATCTGAGTTCGTGGATCTGAGTTCGTGGATCTGAGTGTCGTGATTTCGGTTTCATATCGCATATCGTTACAGCCTTTGAATGTTAAGTTCTATTACTTTTGAGTTACTTTCACCAAAATAGCTATAAAGTAATACAGGAGTAATGTAACGTACAATTCTGAGACAGTAATATTGGAAGGTAATTAATTACTCTTAAATAACTGTAACAAGTAATGTATAATGTATTACAGTTCGGAAATAACTTGCACAACACTGCACATGACAAAGCCAGCACTTTGGTCATCATTAGGGCTGCAGCTATCGATTCTTTTTGTAATCAATTAATCTAGCACTTAATCGATTGATTAATCGAGTAATCGGATAAAACATTTTTTAGTGTTTTTAAACAACCAAAACAAATAATGCATAACGAAAATGATGTGGCTGTAAAATGATCAAGCATTTGGCTTTTATTTATAAAAACAAAAAAACAAAAAAAAAAACTGGTATTTATTCCAACTCCAACATTTGGCTCCAAAAACTAAGCCTATTTATTGCAATTTTTACCCATTTAGTATAAGTGCCAACAATGTTCTATGCTCAATTATTTTGGTACCCGATTAAAATGTCTTCCCCAAAAGTACGAGTGGATTTGGAGAAGCCGGCTGGGGAATTTCATTTTTTGTTGTTGTCTGTAACTATTTGGAAGACGTGACATACAAACAAGGTCTCGCAAAGACTGCAATACAATATTTGTTCCTCCATCACGTCCCGGTGTATACAGTGAAGGCATGCTGAAATTATTGTTGCGTGGCTACATAAAAATGTAAGCATATGTGATGCATTGCCGCAATTGATCTGACTGGCGCGTGAGAGAGACGAGGGTGCGTGCGTGTGAAGGGGTTTCTTTTTTTAGGCTACTCTCTAGTCTCTTGCAATTGAACGTGAATACGTTTACTACTTAAAAACATCAAAGCTAAACATCATATCTAGTCAAACCGCATCACACGACATCGCTACAAATACGGTATGGGATTAAAATCAGCGAACATCAATGTATCATAGGCTTGTGTTCACACCGAACGCAAATTTAATTATTTGAGCGAGTAGATTACATGCAAAGACGCGAATAGACGCATAATTCGCGCCGGGGTGTCGCGACTGACGCGAATTGGGCTACGCGTTTGCCGCGAACGTCTTCCGCACAAGTTGAACATTTTGACCTCGAGCGAATGTTCAAGCGTCTAACTAGACGCGATAAACGCGTATTTGACGCTCTATCCGCGTTCGGTGTGAACACACCAGTAGTTTACCTTGTTTCAGCGACGCTTGGTGAAACAGCACGGAGTGGATGTTTTTGGTTCAGATGCTGAATCATTGAAGTCGTACTGTTGTGGTATGCCAGGTCTACTTTGCAGTAGACACATTGCACCTTGTTCTCTTCCTCCTCTTTAAGTATGTAATGATCCCAAACTTTAGACATTCTCTGCCGTTTATGGACATCTTTACTCTCCGCCATCGCGCCAACTAAATTCAAAATGTATCACGCGCTAAAGTATAGATCCCTGCGCGTCATAGGAATTTAACGAGGCTTCGAGGCAGAGTTTTTGCCTCGAGGAATTTTTGTAATCGAGTAACTCGATGAATCGTTTCAGCCCTAGTCATCATCTTTCATTATTTCGGCAAATGTCTCCCACACTTTGCTCTTTCTATTTGTGGATTTGCGGAGCTTCCACTCACCAGTCTTTTTTGTACTAAGTATTACTAAGCTCCCCCCGAGCCCAGCATCCCGCACTCCATCTCCCCCCGAGCCCAGCGTCCCGCACTCCATCTCCCCCCGAGCCCAGCGTCCCGCACTCCATCTCCCCCCGAGCCCAGCGTCCCGCACTCCATCTCCCCCCCGAGCCCAGCGTCCCGCACTCCATCTCCCCCCGAGCCCAGCGTCCCGCACTCCATCTCCCCCCCCGAGCCCAGCGTCCCGCACTCCATCTCCCCCCCGAGCCCAGCGTCCCGCACTCCATCTCCCCCCGAGCCCAGCGTCCCGCACTCCATCTCCCCCCGAGCCCAGCGTCCCGCACTCCATCTCCCCCGAGCCCAGCGTCCCGCACTCCATCTCCCCCCGAGCCCAGCGTCCCGCACTCCATCTCCCCCCGAGCCCAGCGTCCCGCACTCCATCTCCCCCCGAGCCCAGCGTCCCGCACTCCATCTCCCCCCGAGCCCAGCGTCCCGCACTCCATCTCCCCCCGAGCCCAGCGTCCCGCACTCCATCTCCCCCCGAGCCCAGCGTCCCGCACTCCATCTCCCCCCCGAGCCCAGCGTCCCGCACTCCATCTCCCCCCCGAGCCCCAGCGTCCCGCACTCCATCTCCCCCCGAGCCCAGCGTCCCGCACTCCATCTCCCCCCCGAGCCCAGCGCGTCCCGCACTTCATCTCCCCCCGAGCCCAGCGTCCCGCACTCCATCTCCCCCCGAGCCCAGCGTCCCGCACTCCATCTCCCCCCCGAGCCCAGCGTCCCGCACTCCATCTCCCCCCGAGCCCAGCGTCCCGCACTCCATCTCCCCCCGAGCCCAGCGTCCCGCACTCCATCTCCCCCCGAGCCCAGCGTCCCGCACTCCATCTCCCCCCGAGCCCAGCGTCCCGCACTCCATCTCCCCCCGAGCCCAGCGTCCCGCACTCCATCTCCCCCGAGCCCAGCGTCCCGCACTCCATCTCCCCCCGAGCCCAGCGTCCCGCACTCCATCTCCCCCGAGCCCAGCGTCCCGCACTCCATCTCCCCCCCGAGCCCAGCGTCCCGCACTCCATCTCCCCCCCGAGCCCAGCGTCCCGCACTCCATCTCCCCCCGAGCCCAGCGTCCCGCACTCCATCTCCCCCGAGCCCAGCGTCCCGCACTCCATCTCCCCCCCGAGCCCAGCGTCCCGCACTCCATCTCCCCCCGAGCCCAGCGTCCCGCACTCCATCTCCCCCCGAGCCCAG